TGTCAGTTTAGTCATTGTTTGCACAACTTCTTTAAATTTCCATATGTCCAGAAGTAAACAAAGCCTTGTAAAACACACTTCGAGTGCAACATCTGCATCCATCTGAGAGAATGGTTACAACATCGTTTCTAGAAGCAGCTGAGCCCTGTGATAGTGAAGGAAATAGAAAATATTGTTCCCAGAATTGTTCATTAATTATCTTATTTCAGTTGAATCTGTTTCCTCATATAGGTTACAGTGTATTTGAATGACTAGCCTGATCAATAAAACTGGTTATCTAAAAGTGATAGCCTGTGGGTGAGTCAGAGGAAATGAATCAATTAAATAAATACTAAATATAATGCTGAATATGTATTTTACAGAAACAGCACAGATCATGCTATTTCCAATTCTTAATTGTGGTTAAAGTCTGCAGAATGCTATAAATTATGTGGATGAATCATTGGTTAATGTGGTATCTGTCTAATTAGCTCTGATAATGAATTCAGGCTGTTCAGCAAAATACTTCTCTAATGGCCTGTATATTTTAATATAATTTTTCCCTAATATTTGTTCAACTCTTTAGGGAAACTGCTAAAAATTATCCATGCATATTTTAGCAAATGAACAAATGTGCTATTTTCCTATTACTGGATCAAAAAATCAACTTTTGCAAATAATGGTTAGCAGTTTCTGTCCTGAACTTGCATATAGCTACGGAGCTTCACATTAGAGATACGGTTCCTAGCATCTTTTTGTCATTTTCAATAGAAGTTATTAAATTTGAAATAATTGATTGTAATTAATGTTGCATCCTCATAGATACCTTCTAAGTGGGACTCACCTCCAAGTAAATATCTATAGAGTTAGGCTGCATGTTGCTTTCCATTGCATTCATAGGGCGAAAATCGCAGAGCGAAGGTCGGTAAGCGGTTCGCTTACCGACCTTCGCTTTGCGACCCGCCGATCAGCTGGTCAGCGGGTCCAAAATGGCCACCGGAACAGCCGAAATGGCCGCGCACAGCTGCGGCCGAAATGGCCGCCTGCAGCGTTTTCACGCCCTCTCCTCGCTTACCGAGGGCGTGAAAATGGCTGCCGGACCCGGAAAAGCATCGCTGTACGGTGAGTTTTTGACCATTTGGAATGCATTAAACGCTGTTTAATGCGTTCCAATGGCTTTTTTTGATCCGTACAGCGATGCTTTCACACAGCGAGGGTTAATCCAGAACGGATTAACCTCACTGTGCGAGGCACCACTGTATGTTTGAGTCTTTGGTTAGGGGAAATGTTTTGCAAAGGCTAACCGAGAATTGAGCTGCAGTCCATAAAATCTTATATCAAATAAAACTTAGCTCAGTGGTTTAGGTATCTGACTGTGGAGCCATAAGTTCGGAGTCCCACTGTGCCTCCTGTACAAGGGCTAGACTCAATGACACATAAGGTCTCTTCCAGCTCTACAGCTCTAAGATTTGCCAGTCTTTCAAGTGTATTCTCGAAGGCTTTCACGGCCAGGATCTAATGGTGGTTGTAGGTTTTTCAGGCTGCTTGGCCATGTTCTGAAGGTTTTTGTTCCTAACGTTTTGCCAGTCTCTGGCAAAAACAGCCAAACACGGCCAAGCAGCCTGAAAAACCCACAACAACCAGTCTTTCAAGTGTTGCAATCTTTTTTGGGATTATATGTTTTCTGCCACCTAGCGGCTATATTCATGTGCAGAGAGGAGAAAAGCGAGCAGTTAAGTGTTACTGATTTCTTATTAAGATAGATATTGGGCTTAGGGATCACTTTGCAAAAATTCCTCATTCTTATTGATTTAGGTTGTCTGTATATTATGAAATGCCTTAACACAGTGGTCCCCAACCTTGGGCTTCCAGATGTTCTTGGACTACAACTCCCAGAAGCCTTCACCACCACCCCTGCTGGCCAGGATTTCTAGAAGTTGCCCATAGCAAGACAATAAGCCATACCCTCCCAAGAGCCAGTGTTAAGTGGATGGCCCAAAATGAATGCCAAGCATGGGATGACATAAGATTTCAAGTACTTAGTATATATAATTCCTAATAGCTTGTGCATTCTCACCAGTGGAAATATTTATGTGGATGCTAAATCTTGGTTTTGTTGAGCTAAATGGGTGTATTCTGATTTGGCCTTTAGAATATTGCTTGTTAATTGACATATTGAATCCATTTTGTATTCATATGGGTGCCATATGCTTTTTGAAATAGGAATTCCACAATTATGATCATATTATAAAACATTTATTTTACTGTAGATATAACTGTAGGGTATCCAGTATGGTGTAGTGGATAGAATGATAGGCTAGACTCAGGAGACTTGGATTTGAATCCCTGCTTCGTCATGGAAACTCATGTGGTGGTGGGTGTGAATGAATTGGTAGAACCACTCATAAATATTTTGTAAATATTAGGGCAGCTATAAGTTGGTTCCAACTTGATAGCATGCAACATGCACACAAATACATCTGTATTATTTCTAGACAAAGTGTGATGAGTATGTAAACTCTGAAAAACTAGACAAGTGAACTTAAGGAACAGGCTACATGGCAGGAATTCACAAACTTTGTTACACATATGTTGGTCACTAATTAACTGTTCCATGGCCAGGAAGCTCTTGCCTAATTAATCAGATAAAACAGAAATTATGTAATTTGTGGAGACAAATTGCCTTAAGTTTTAAAAATAATTATAGATATTGCATATAAAATGCAACCAATAATTTCTACAATGATTTCTTAACTCGAGGCAGTTTACTTCTAAATGTCACACTGTCTGCATAACTGTGCAAGAGGATTTTCGCCATTGTCTTTTTGTGTAAAAATAACACTTTGGAGATGAATCTATTTATTGTGGCCAAAGTTTGGTAAGTGAGCACGACTTCTTCAATGCATGAATTGGTACCATCCTCAATTGGCAAACAAAAAAACAGAAGCTCTGTTCAGTTGTTGTCAAATCATGTACTCTGACAATTATAGTGGAAGCACTCCAGCTTCATCTACCTGTGGAGAGTATTGAGTATAAAGAGGAAAGCCTCTGTAATCCATCAGAATACATGAGGGGGATGCTGATTTTCCAGGGTCCCAATGCCATCATGGACAGTGAAGACTTCCCTCTTCATATTCATTGCTCATTATGCATAGGAGTAAAAATGGCAAGAGAGAGTGATCTAGAGCAGGGGTCGTCAACCCCCGGTCCGCGGCCCAGTGACAGTCATTGGGCTTGCCAGAACTGGGCCAGAGATACGGATCTCCGCCCCACCCCCTGCACATGGAGCTCGCTCCTCCCAACTGGTCTGCGGCCCCAAAAAGATTGGGGACCGCTGGTCTAAAGTGTTCATATCTTTCAATTTAAATGACTATAGATAAATGAACACATTTACAGGTAAAAGAGTGGTGGAGAGGGAAATAAATTGTGTCCATCTGACATACAATGTGGCCTCCTCTACTTCTTTCATCCCCTATAGCCCTCCTAATATGCCCTGGAAGATTCCCCCAAACCTCTGGAGCATATTTTTGTATTCTGCAGGCTGCAAAGGAAGAAGGAGCTATTCCACCGGCATTGTCTGTTCTGTTCATGGACAGACATACTTGAATGTACCCCATTATTACAAAGTGAAGTTTGAAGATCCAGTGATGCTATATGATCCACTGTAGTATGCTGATCTTATGTCACATTAAATGTAGTAGACTTTAAAGTGCTGTGGGAATCTCTCTCTCTCTGTGTGTGTGTGTGTATGTGTGTGTTTGCTACATTAGACTACAGATTTATAACTTTCAGGTTAAGAAATGAATACTATATATTTTCCTCAGTGCAAGTAAATTAGTTAAATGTGGATCAGTAGTCAGCTAGGTAAATCTTATGCAGAGGAGGCAGATGGAAAACCAAAGTCTGGAGAACTAGCTTGTGGGAATGAAAAGTTTATCAGTCTCACCTGGATTCTAGGAGTTGCAATAGATTCCCCTCCCCTAATATTTGTGTAGAATATGTATAAGGTGATGATATATTTTAAGAGTGCCCAAAAGAAGCAGAGAAGGGCAGACACTCAAAAAGATAGGAGGTTGCTCTGTTGTCCTTAGAGATTACAGGAAAAAGAGGATGAGGCTTTATTTTCTCTGAGGTAGATGCGGTTGAATGCTCTGGAAAGGGAGTTGCACTGTATTAGTCTCCAGCAATTGCTAATATATCTCTGCCTTGGCCTGCCTCAAACTTCAAGAAACTTTTAAAAAATACTAAATAAAGGAAAGTAACATTTATAGACGGTGGTGCTACTTAACCACAGCCATATGGCAGGGATATGAAGAATGCTGACTGCAGTTAATGGGTATTTAGTGCCTAGCCCGTAAAATGCAATTCAGTAACATCCTGTTGCTTAGAAGGAGTAGAGGTACATCCCAGTGTTGGGTGGAACTGAATGGAAAGTACCAGCAGCTCGGAAATAGTACGATCACAGTAGTATATTCTTCATGTCAAGAGGTTGTTCCACCCATGTTTCATAAATGGGAAAAAAGAGATACATGGCTTTAAACAGCTTGAAAGGATTTTGCTGTACAGTATTTTAAAATACTCTGTAAGAATGCAGCTTGAATGTATTTTTTGTGGAAATAGAATTTAAAATAATTTTAAAAGTATCTACATAGAAATGCTAACCATGTCAGACCATGCTAACTGGTAGTTCAGGCAACTGATTAGAGCGTTCTTAGTTGACAGTGGCTTGATTTCTCTGAAATTCAACCTTTCCAATTTTTTTTTGTAGTGATGTACAAACTACCACTAATAGGGATTTGCCCTTTGTAAGCCCAAGTTGTTTAGAGTGAATCTCTACCTAATATTTCTCATTATATTCCTAAAACTCAATGTTGGAATAGCAGGACTTACTTCTGAATACACATGCATAGAATTGTGCTTCATGAAAGCTTATGCACTCATATCGTCTCCACATGTGATACTTATGCATTCTTCTCTTTTGTATAAGATGCAATTTCTTCTTTTCATTTTGTCTGTTACAGGTATCAAATCCATACAGGCCTCCAGCATTCGGTCATAAGGCCCACACAGCCTAACTGTTTACCCTTGGATAATGTAACTCTACCTCAGAAGCTGAAGGAAGCTGGCTACTCCACCCACATGGTTGGCAAATGGCACTTGGGCTTTTACCGCAAAGAATGCATGCCGACACAGCGGGGATTCGATACTTTTTTTGGCTCTCTTCTGGGCAGTGGTGATTATTATACCCATTACAAATGTGACAGCCCTCGAATGTGTGGCTATGACTTATATGAGAATGACAATGCTGCTTGGGATCATGACAATGGCATGTACTCAACACAGATGTACACGCAGAAAGTGCAACAAATCCTAGCCTCTCACAACCCCAGGAAACCTATATTTTTATACATTGCATACCAAGCTGTCCATTCACCACTTCAGGCACCAGGCAAATATTATGAACATTACAGATCAATAAATAACATAAACAGGCGCAGATATGCTGCTATGCTGGCATGCTTGGATGAAGCTATCAACAATGTGACACTTGCATTAAAAAGGTATGGTTATTATAACAACAGCATCATCATCTATTCTTCAGACAATGGAGGGCAGCCAACAGCAGGTGGAAATAACTGGCCTCTCCGAGGAAGCAAGGGGACTTACTGGGAAGGGGGAATTCGAGCAGTTGGTTTTGTTCATAGCCCTCTACTAAAAAATAAGGGTGGGGTGTGCAAGGAGCTTGTACATATAACCGACTGGTTTCCTACTTTGATCACCTTAGCAGAAGGACAGATTGATGAGGACACCCAGCTGGACGGCTATGATGTGTGGGAGACCATAAGTGAAGGCAGACGGTCTCCCAGAATGGATATTTTACACAACATTGATCCCATCTACACCAAAGCCAAGAATGGGTCCTGGGCAGCGGGCTTTGGAATATGGAACACAGCAATTCAATCAGCAATACGTGTCAACCACTGGAAACTCTTGACAGGAAACCCAGGGTATAGTGACTGGGTCCCTCCTCAATCATTTAGTAATGTTGGCCCGAGTCGCTGGCACAATGAGCGGGCTTCGTGGACAGCTGGTAAAACAGTGTGGCTATTCAATATCACAGCTGACCCATATGAGCGAGTGGATCTTTCCAGTAAGTATCCAGATGTAGTAAAGCAACTGCTGCGTAGGCTTTCACAATTCAATAAGACAGCTGTGCCTGTTCGATATCCACCTAAAGATCCGAGGAGTAACCCCAATTTTAATGGAGGCGTTTGGGGGCCCTGGTTCAAAGAAGAGGAGAAGAAGAAGAAGAAGAAACCAAATAAAAACAAAGCAGAGAATAAACAAAAGAAAAATAAAACGAAGAAACCTCATCAGAGAAAGGGGCATTCATTAAGCTGCTTTGCAGGTGGATAATTTCTGCTGACGGCTTATGCTGTCATTCTAAGCATACTTAACCTGGAAGGGTTTTGCAAAAAGCAATGTCAGTCGTCTGAGTTAAATGTTCAGGCTCAGGCTGCCATTGCTAAACTAACAAAAAACATTATGTGAGATAATTTTCAAATGGGCTATCACAGTTATAATGCAATGTTTGCACTGTGTTATGTTTATTTGGTGTTGCATTGTGACAGGAAGATGTGCAAGGTGAAGTTTATATCATTACAGATCCAGAAAACATTCTTGATGAACTACCTTTTCTGCCATATACTAAAGGGGATTTACCTCCATTACTTTACGGTCTCTGAAGGTGAGCTTATACAGCAAATGAGACAAGACCACACACTCAAATGCACCTGTTTATATTAGTTACTGTTTGGAAAATTATAAATGTTCTCTATTGATTAGAGAAAGTAAGGACCAAAAAGAGGCAAAATGTTGACATGAGTGTAAGTTGCCTTCTCATATAGAGTTGGTCAAGTGTAGTCAAACATTAGGCTACTAGAATAGCCTGAATTAGTTGTGAAAAAGCTGCTTCTTATTAAATGTTGCCTGGCTTTCAAATGGAAAGGATTTTCCCGTCTTCCCAGAATATGCCAGGCAACAGTCCCTTCCAGTAAAAACAAGCTATACACACACATACAGAGCTGCTAGTACATGGCTATAATTACAGAAAGATGTAGACCAAAATCCTGAGCTGGCTTGTGTGCACACAACCTTTGCTGATATTAATAAAATATCCATATGTAACAGCAAAGAATTCCAGACATATATAATGCCATACCCCAAGCACTGATGCGCTAAAGCATTTCCATAGCGTCTGGGTGAATTAAGCACCTGTAGTGCTTGCTAGGCACGACAGGACCAGCCATATCATTAAGCAAAAGAAAGCAGCTATCTCAGAAATCAAAATGCTGGGAGGGAATAGCACAGTACTAGAAAGCAAAGCCTTCCAGTTCCAAGGCTATTTTTCTGTGTTTCCGTACAGTGGGGTGATGCTGTCTCATCAGCAGTGTTACAGAAAGATTCAGCTACCAGTCTGTTGAGTTTTTGCCCATGGATTGGATTGTGTGTGTCATGTATTGCCATCTTGTTCTTTCCCTTGAATAGCACAATGGCTTCTGGTGGCCCTGTATAGCAATGCTCAGACCCAAAGGCCTGTCTGTACTCTGGAAAGCAAATGGATTTCCCCATACCCTTCAATAAGAGTTCCCTATACAATTATTGCAACTGAGGAGAATGTCCAGATAAGGTAGCACCGTATAAGCATTAAAGCTCTAGTGGAGCTGTCTGTGACTCTAGTGGCAGATGTCAACCATAAGTATCTGTCATAAGAAAAAGGTATTAAAAGGACACCAATGTTATAAGCAGAACAAAAGCAGAAATTCACCAAACCAGACCTACAAGCTGGTTGCTTTGATACTCGTGGCAATAGCATTCTGTTCCTGTGGCTTCCATGTGAGTAGTCTGTCCTTGTATCTCAGATAATAGTGTTTTATTTCAAAGTACTGTAAAACAAAACATAGCTGTAAAAGGAGGAGGTATTCAGGTGCATCACTTCATTCTTGTTTGTTTGCAAGGTGATTATTTTGCTGTGTAATCTGTTAGTCAAGTTTTCTTTATACAAGCAAACCCATGTATGTTTTAAGGAAGAGTGATGAAGAGTGAACAGGAAAAAAAATTCTTGTAACATTTTATTTATATATCTATTAAAATAGTTTATTTTTATGGCAATAATTAGAATTCCATGTTGTCATTCTTATTCATGTGGCCAAGAAACTATGTTCAAATTTGGTCTTGCAGTTTTATACACTGAAATACAATCTGAAGGTGATGCCATTCAGCTGTCTTCACTTGGGGGGGGGGAAGAGAGTAGTTCTAAACTATGAAAGAGGGAAAGGAGAATCAGAACTTTTCAAGAAAGTAAGAGACTGACAGGAAAGAGAAGGATGCAGAGGAAGAGAAATGAAGGAAGATGAAGTTACCGTGTGTGAGCCAGTGACAGCAGGCTGGGGGGAAGGAGATAAGTGCCAGCGTGGGCAGGCCCCCTCAGCAACGGCAGAAAAGGTGTTGGCCTTCAAGGAAACACCTGAGGCAGACGAGGGTGGAGGCCCTAAACCTACCCCCAGAAAAACAGCTGTAGCTGTGGTAGATATAGAGGCGAGTGAGCAAGGAGGGGGGTGGGAGGAATTGGATATTTGGGAGGATGTCTGGGAGTTTCTGTCACCTTCGGAGAAGAGAGAAAATAGTCTGTTGGGGGAGATGCTGAAAGGAGCTTCTAAGAGGCCTGCATCTGGCTTATCTGAAGGCAAGTTGAAAGATAGAAGCTCCCAGGGACAGCTGGTGCTGCACGGCCTCCTCTGCTTGCTGGACGCCACGCTGGGGGAGTTCAAAATACAGGCAAAGACTGTTTAACAGCCTGGACCTTTCAGCTAAGATGAGCTGCCACGAGAGTGAAGTAACTCCCTTGGAGACAGGAGGGGCTGGGACAGAATATTCTCTCAGCCCTGGAAGGACTGGAAGGATAGAAAGCCACCAATTCCATCCCTGCTGCTTGGGGCTAGAGGCCCCATCCTGCAAAGGACTACAGAGACACTGTTTTTTCTTTAGAATTCATGCTGAGCCCAGTAAAGCTTAACCAATCCTGCTGCCTCATCATGGATACAGCGGCTGAGGCCGCTCACGCCGTGTTTCATAAAGGATAACTGAGAAAAAAAATCCTTGTATAACGGAGGAGCTGAGAACCTGCTCCTTGGTATAACTAAGAGAGCTATATTGCCGTGTTTCATAAAGGATAACTGAGGAGAAAAAATCCTTGTATAACGAAGGAGCTGAGAACATGCTCCTTGGTATAACTAAGAGAGCTATATGGTATAAACTATGGATAATAAGTTCTAAATTTATCACAGAAAAGAGTTTACTCATGCAATGGCTGCCCAGTGTTGTAATTTAAATTTATCTGTATATCTGCTGATAGCAATTAAACTTATGTCTCATTGAGTATTCTCAAAATACACATTACATATTGTGTATTGTAGTGGTAAATTGAAAGTGCTCATCTGAATAACACCCCCTCCAACAATGTGGGCAGCTGGATCAATCTGCTTCAGCAAACAAGGAACAAGTCTTCTTTAAAGGTAATAGATTTTAACTGCCCATGTAAGGCAAACCATGCCATTCCTAGGAAAAATTAATTTCTCTGCCTTCTGCTGAGAATATTGCAGCTACACTCAGAAGGAAACAAGGAAACCCGGGAGGGGCATGACAGATGATATCATTCGTTTGTTTGTTCAGTCGTTTAGTCGTGTCCGACTCTTCGTGACCCCATGGACCAGAGCACGCCAGGCCCTCCTATCTTCCACTGCTTCCCGTAGTTGTGTCAATTCATGTTGGTTGCTTCGCAGACACTGTCCAGCCATTT